GGCCGTCTCATCGCCCAGCCGGCTGGGCTCGATGACGATGGTGCGACAGCCGGCGTCGAGCGCGCGCTCCAGCTCCACCTCGAAGCGCTCCAGGTCCTGGCTGCCCTGGTACAGCTCGCGGATGATGGCCACGTCCTCGGGACGCGGCCCGTCCCTGCGGCCGCGCCGCCGTCAGAGCTGCCCCGGGACACCGAGGACGGTGGTGCAGGAGCGCCACTGGCGCAGACAGGAGAAGGGATGCTAGAGTGGAGGGAAACGTCTAGCTCGCTTCTGGGAGTGAGAGGAGTCGCGTGCGTTTGAGACAAGTGCCGGCGTTTGGTGGTGTTGGCAGTGTGCCAAAATGGTCTCAGCAGAGGCGCTGTGAAAACAGAAGCATCCTCACGAAACCCCCAGCAAAACACAAGCAGCAGAAATTAAATGCATTGATGAGTGAGAGACCACAATTCCATAAAAGAATACAACAGCAAAAACCAAAACAGTTCAAAAGGGTGTCATTTTTCATTCCCAAATAATGAATTTGAACAATGGTTGGGGTTTGCATTTCCGTGAAGTCTGAGGGTTCATGCTAGATAGGTGTGTATGGGGATTGACTGACCTTCCATGACAAGCCATGTGAGATTTCATGCAAACTTGACAGGGCCCAGCTCAGGATCTCCTATTCCCTGACTTGTGAAGGCTTATGCTTGAAGGTCAGTGAATTATTGATTAATAGATGCTGGATGCTTCAGAGCTAGTCAATTTTTCCAAGACTGCCATCATACAGTCAAGTACCAGATTGCCCTGAACATCACTGGTCAAAACAGTCCTACAGCAACTGGTAAACTCATTCTGCTGCATTCAAGAGTCAAGTAAACAAGGAACAGATATGGGCACATAACTAAGCCTACCCATTATAAGTCTGCATGCACTAGCTGCTAAGAAAAAAAATATTCAAAAGAGATGCTTATCTAACATCTGTATGGATGCAAGATACTGCTACACATTGGCATGGGGTGAAAACTCAAGTTATCAATGATGACTACTCACCAATATTCAAGGCATATTCAGCCATAGCAGTGCTAATAGTGAGGGCACAGTGTAGACACCAGGCTGTTTAGGTAGTTGCTTCTTTCTGCACAAAATCTGAAAAAATATATAGACAATGATGAGACAAACTCATGTAGAAAGGCATACTTAAAAGAAGAAGAAAAATTGATAGTAATACAAAACTTCAATAGAATGCAGCCCAGTGCAGATACCAAATATGCTCCATCACATGGCAGGCCACAAAATCAGCTGTCATGCTTCCAGATACAAGGATAAGTACTCAACAAACAACCAGAGCATATATAATATAGTAATCATAAAGGGTTTCAGGAAACAGCATGTCATAGCAGTTAGATATCTGTGCATCAAACAAGCCCAGTATAGATCATTAACAGTTAAAGCACACTGCCGACTGCACTGCTGGTAGTATCACACTTTATTTGCAGGCCCATGCCTTCAAGTCATAAATGAAGAAGTTAAATATGTGAACAGGTGAAATAATCTTCAGGTTCCTCCCTTCTATTGCTTTATCTATATGATGCATGGGATGCCCATTGGTCTTGTGACACAATCTTTTACAAGGATTACCTATACTATGCAATATGAAAAATTGCCACCTATAATTCTGCAAAATAGTAGCGTTAACAAAGACTATGGTGAAGACAGGGGGCAGAGGATATGCAATGCTTGATGCATGCAACAGAACTTTGCACTGAGTCATACCATACTAATAGGGCAGACACTTCATTCTCCTTACACACAAAATCAATTGATGGCAATGCCTGTTATTACCCCAAAGGTTGACCACACTGAGGCAAGTTCTCAACCCTTTATGACAAACACAATCTCCTTCAAACTCTGTACTAGACTTGCTTGATGCAATGCCCAATGAAAATATAGGAGTGATTTTGATTTGATGATTTTAATGATATTCAAATAATAACAGAACTATTGTGCTAGGAAGTAGATCTATGAAGAATTCATTCAAGATGCAGCCATTGCTTGACAGTTATGAATCATCAAAAATATTTACTAAAAAACTAAATAGAAGACACGTCTGCTAACAACCAACGCACGTGTTTTATCCGCAAACTTTCATTTCCTACCAAGATTCAACACAATCCAGCACTCAACCCTATTTACTGGTCAACCCACATCTTTCCTCCCCACAAGTCTAAACTGAAAGTGCAACAGCCGTTAACATCATGATGAGTAACAGATCCAAAATCAACCGCGAAACATGAACAAAAACCATGAAAATTGTTAGCGCTACACCCCACCTCACACAATATCGGCCATCCCCCAACAGATTTTCAACCTGAACCGAGGGAAACAAATGGTTGCATGTCCAGCGCAGAACCGCGCCAGTCCACTAGCTGCCTGACATCATATTTTGATGACGTATTAAAAGTTCCAATGTTTTCATCGCAAATAGGTTTATTTCTGTGGTTCCCTTTTATAGCCTATTTTAACCGAAATATAAGTTGCATTTAATGAAAAAAGAAACTTGCTCTTTATCTATTCAGATTTATGTACACATCAACGCACAGATTTACGCTGAGCGTCTGTACCGGCTGACTGCCCTCAAATCCTGTCTTACGTTTTCTATCGCGAGCTGCTGCTCTCCAATCACTTGCCTCCGTGTCAAAATCACGCGAGCCTGAGAAGTCAACTAGCTACCAGCCCCGCCGAACTCGCCGAATATGCACCAGGTTCCAGCCTGCGCCGATCAAAGGTGGCGTTCATATGCACTGATGAAAAACTAGTTTGACAGAAGAGCAGCCTACGGTAGACATTTTGAGACAGCTCCTTGGTTCTACATGTGCGAAGTGCTTCGCCCCGTGTGCAGCCAACGCACGTGGATTAGAAGTGGAGAAGGTGGTTGGGAGTGTGGTAATCCTCGACTTATGTCATGTCATTGCTGTTTGGTAGGTATGTTGGCGGGTACCGCTGAGTGCATTAGGTTCGATGGGGATGGGGTGCGTGAGAATGGATAATTAGTTTTTGAAGGGTAGAGCGGCGATGTTGATAAACATTAGCATTCTGTGAACCTTGGCAAAGGGTTGAATCTTATCACGTACAGCATTGCAAACCACTTTGCAACAAATTCATTTTCCGTGTGGACGATGAGGTGATCTTGATGTGCTGAACCTAGCACACATTTGCTT